TGGCTGCCTCCAGGACCTTGGCGTCACCACTACGTTCCATGATCACGAGCGGTACGCTGTCGGTACCGAGGCCGCCACTGGTGCCCCCCTTACCACGTTCCCCCGGGACCCGGTGTCCGGATTGTTCACACTGGACACTGTGACCCCCCCGGCTGGGACCTCCCCTCAGGTGGCTGCGTCTACCCAGGTTGCTGCTGCCTGCTCCTGTCGGTCACTCACCCACCCGACACTCCTGTGGCACAACCGTCTAGGTCACCCTGCGCTCCCGCGTCTGCGTTACATGTCACAGCACGGTCTCGTCCTAGGCCTCCCTGGGTCGTTTTCTGAGTTTCCCTCCTCCCCTGCCCCACCTTGCACGCCTTGTGTCGAGGGCCGGCTTCGCCATGCTCCTCACTCCTCCTCGTTTCCCCCTACCGCCGCACCACTACAGAATCTGCACATGGACGTCTGGGGCCCCGCCCCCGTCCATGGGCCGCGTCAAGAGCGATACTTCCTTGTGCTTGTCGACGACTACATGCGCTACACCACTGTGTTCCCCCTGGAGCGGAAGGCCGACGTGCCTGACGTTGTTATCCCGTGGCTTGTCGTTGCGCGTGTCCGTCGCGATCTCCCTGTCTTGCGCCTCCACTCCAACCATGGTGGCGAGTTTGCCTCTGGTGTCCTTGGTCGTTTCTGTCGTGTGGAGGGCATCACCCAGGCGTTCACCTTGCCGGACTCCCCACAGCAGAATGGGGTCACTGAGCGACGCATCGGTTTGGTCATGGAGGTGGCTCGCACCTCCATGATCCATGCCGGTGCACCCCATTTTCAGTGGCTGTTCGCCGTTCGCTACGCCGCTCACCAGCTTAACCTGTGGCCGCACCCCCAGCAGCCTCAGGTTTTGCCGACCCTCCTTTGGTCTGGGTCACCTGGTGACGCGTCTGCGTTCCACGTCTGGGGCTGTCTTGCTCACGTTCGTGCCTCTGGCACGGACAAGCTCACTGCCCGCACCCTTCCCTGTGTCTTCCTCAGTTTCCCCCTTGACGCGTCTGACTGGCACTTCAACCACCCGCCGTCTCACAGGTTTGTTCACTCTGGTAGTCCTGCGGCGCATTCCTCGCCGCCTGCCCCTTCTCAGGTGTCACCCCCTCCGCCGCCTCCGCAGCCGCAGTCGCCACCGCTGTCGCAGCCGTCGTCACCGCCGCCGCCGTCGCCGCAGCCGTCGTTGCGACCGCCGCCGCCGCAGCCGTCGCCGCAGCAGTTCGTTGCCTCAGGGGGTGCTGGAGTTGGGGTGGGTACTAGTCCTGGGACTCCTGTCGTGGCTTGTCCCGGTGGGCCTGGGGGTGGTATCGGTGCTCGAGGGGTTCTGAGCTCTGGGGGTGTTTCTTCTGGGGGCGTTGGTGTGGAGTGTTCTGGAGGTAGCTGCCCAGCAGCTTGCGGTCCCGGTGTCAGTGTCCCACCGCCGTCACAGCAGTCCTCGCCGGTGTTCGCTCTTCGCCTGCTTGGCCTTCCGTCCCCTGACCCCGTGCCCGTGCCTCCTCCTCCTCCTGTCTCCGACCCTATGTTCCCTCCTCCGGACGCGTCTCCGGCCCGTTTCCCCCCTCGTTCCCCTCCTGTGTCCCCTCCTCTGTCTCCTGATCCGACTCCCCCGTCTCACGTCTGGTCTCGCTGTCCCTCCCGTGCTCGACCTGTCTCCCCTGTCTTGCGCTCTCACCCTATGTTGCTTCGTTCCCACGCGTCTCGTCCTCCCCTTCTCCCGTCGCCCCCTCCGTCCTCCCTTTTCGTTGCTTCCCCCCCTCTGTCTGACTACCTGCGTGCCGTTCGTCCTCTTGTTCATCGGGTCCTTGCCTCTCTCGTTACCGACCCGTCTGTTCCGGTTTCGAGCCTTGACGCCCTTGTCGCTGCGGTCGCTGACTTTGCCTCTACCCGCCGCCTTGACTACGCCACTGCTTTGGTCTCTGACCCTGCCTGTCCTCCGTCTGTCAGGGGTGCTCCTGCCCTTGGCAGTGACGTCTTGGAGGACCGCCAGTACGAGCTTGCTTTCCTGTCCGAGGCTGCTCCCTATCTCTGTTCCATGCTTCTAGTCCCTAAGGGTGACCCCGACGCTTTCGATATCCCGACCCCTCGCACTTACGCTGAGGCGGTCTCGCGGCCCTGGAGCCTCTCAGTGGATAACTGCCATGGAACAGGTGATAGCATCTTGGAGATCCACCGGCACCTACGTCGACGCAGTTCCCCCACCTGGGGTGAACGTAGTTGATGGCCGCTGGCTCTTCAAGGTGAAGTGCCCTCCTGGAGAGCCACCTGTGTTCAAGGCGCGCTACGTGGCTAGAGGTTTCAGTCAGCGTGAGGGGGTTCACTTCTTCCAGACCTTCGCTCCGATCCCGAAGATGACTACTCTTCGGGTGCTACTATACGTAGCAGCGGAGCGTGACTACGAGCTTCACCCCCTCGACTTCTCCACTGCGTTTCTTCAGGGCAGTCTACACGAGCAAGTCTACCTGCGTCGCCGTTAGGGCTTCAGTGGTACCTTCCCTCCTGGGACCCAATGGCTCCTCCAGCGCCCCGTCTACGGCCTGCGGCAGGCTCCCCGTGAGCAGCACGACACGCTGCGTGCTACACTTGCTGACCTGCAGTTCTTTCCGTCCTCTGCAGACCCCTCGCTCTTCGTTCGTGCTGGCCAGACTCCGTTCTACATCCTTGTTTACGTAGACGACCTGGTCTTCGCCACGGCAGAAAGGGACGCACTGGCCTCCGTGAAGGCAGAGTTGAGGAAGAGACACACTTGCACTGACCTTGGAGAACTGCACCACTACCTTGGCTTGCAGATCTCCAGGGACAGAGCAGCCCGCACCATCACTTTGACTCAGTCACACCTGGTGCGCCAGGTCCTTCAGAGGTTCAGCCTTCAGTTCTCCTCCGCACAGCCTACTCCTCTGCCTCTAGACCACAAGCTCTCCGCTCCAGTTTCTGAGGAGTCAGTAGAGCCCAGTGGTCCATACGCAGAGCTGGTGGGTTGCCTCATGTACCTGATGACTTGCACGCGCCCAGATCTCGCATACGCTCTCAGCATCCTGGCTCGCTTTGTGGCTACAAGCAGACACCGACCTCAGCACTGGTCGGTAGCTAAGAGGGTTTTGCGTTATCTTGCAAGTACATCGGGCATGGGGCTAGTACTAGGAGGACGTAGGCCAGTGGTCCTTACTGGACACACAGACGCTTCTTGGGCAGACGACGCCGAGACCCTCACGTCCTCACAGGGCTACTGCTTTAGCCTTGGTTCAGGTGCCGTCTCGTGGAGAGCTACTCGCTCCTCGTCTGTTGCCCAGTCCAGCTGTGAGGCCGAGATCTACGCTGGTGCCATGGCGGAACAGGAGCTCCGCTGGCTGACCTTCTTGCTCACTGACTTAGGTGAGCGGCCTAGCTCTGCCCCGGTCCTGTACGCTGACAACAGGGCCATGATCCTCCTGTGTCAGGAGCCTCGACTCGAGGGCAGAGCGAAGCACATTCAGCTACGGTACTTCCTCCTGCGTGAGCTGCAGCAGTGTCACCAGGCGCGCTAGTACAGTTTGTTAAATCATATATTGAGTTATATAATTGTTAGGCTTGGTAGGTTACCGAACTTTACTGTAGAGGGTACAATCCCCTCCTTGTATGCCTCTCTCTTTCTATTCCAACTCCCTTATCTCTCCTCAACATTTCTCCTTCGTAAACCTGACGCCACTCCATGGCTCCTCCTAGCTAAACCTCATGCCTTTCCTAGCTTCCTAGCTAAGCTAGTCTTCTAACATGCCATCAGAGCAGGAGGTCCTCCCTGCTGGACCGCCTCCTCACGCTTCCGCCGCGCACTCCTCACCCTCGTTCGCTCGCGCGGCCATGGCGGCCGCGTTTTGCTGCAGTGGCGGCGTCGTGATGCCGTTGGCCGCGTCGTGCCGGGGCCGTTTCGACGCGCTGCCGTGGTGTCGGGCCGTCGTTCTGCCGTCGCAGCGTCGACGTCCTGCTGCGGCGTCGACGCCGCTCTGTTACGGCGTCGTCGGGCTGCAGCCGGCCGTGCGACGCCTGTGGCGCCGCTAGACCGGCCGCCTGCATGCCAGCCTGTGGTGCCCCCCCCCCCCCCCCCCCCTTTCTCTCCTTCCCCTGTGTCCTCTTCCTTTCCGCAGACGACGGCTGACTCCCGCCGGCGTCCCACCGTCGCAAGGCCTGGCCACGTCACCGAGATGTGCGAGCGCCGCCGGCGCCGCCGCTACTGTCGAAGCCGCCGCCGTCGCCGCTGGCGTCAGGGCCACGCAGCCGCCCCCCACCGCCGCCGCCGCTGTCGACACTGTCGCCGCTGCCGCCGTCGCCGCCGCAGCCCCTCCGGTCGACGTTGCCGCCTCACGCGCCGAGGGGTCGACCGAGCTAGTGTCGCTGTCACTGTGGCTGGAATGGGGGTGCTAGGTTAGGGGGTGTGGGGTTGTGTGTGGGTTTGTGACTACCAAACCTAGGGGGTGTGTTAAATTATATATTGAGTTCTATAATTTAACACACTTGGCCTCCGGTGCCAACACAGCTGATATCTTTACGAAGGCGCTTGCGCCTAAAGATCATCAGCGGCACTGTGTACAGCTGGGTCTCGTTCCTGTAGCCTCTCACTTGCTGGGGCCTTGACTTTGTACTGTCTTTTATATCTATATTTTTCCCAGACTGGCCTTGTGGCCTCTCCCAGTGGCTGGACTAGTAGTGCCGCCCTGGGCTTGCTCTTGCCTTGTCTGTACTCCTTTTGACTGGTCTTTAGACCCTTGTCTCAGAGGCTGGACTAGTAGTGCCGCCCTAAGCTGCTTCTTCCCTTGTTAGGCACTGCCCCTATATAGTCTAGGGGGTGTGTCAAATGTAACTTAGGTTGTTACTGTAGACTATACTGGATTGTGCCTTAAAGGGTACAACACCCTAGTCTATATATCCTTGTACACACACATTCTAGTTCAATCATTTTTCTTTCTGATGATGGGCGCTCTCGTTTCTGGACTCGGTGCAACACGATGTCAAGCGGATCAATAATAATTCTCAGGTTTTTTATCAGGATCAACAATGTAGGAATTCGACCTGACTTAAAAAAAGTACCCTGAAAATCAGAGTACACAAGGCATTTTACCCGGATATTTTGGGCCCCTATACCCACACCTCTGCGTAACACCATATTCTGCTGCTTGGAAACCAAGAGCCTCCAACCATCCACCCTTTCAATCCCCCCATCCACCCTTCCGCCCTTCCACCCTCCACCGTCCACCGTCCACCATGTACCCTTCACCACCCACCCATCCACTGGTCCACCTGCCCAGCAGTCCAGCGTGCAGCGTGCGCGCGGTCACCTGGCGACCTTGCCGCGGATGATGGCTTCGGCCTTGCGCACCTCCTTCACCGGCCCGATGATGAACACCTGGCAGGGGGCACAGGGAGCGGGGGAGCACCGAGGAGAATGGGGAGGGGCACGCACGCCCCCCAGGGCAAGGGCCACAGGGCAGAGAGGGGCCATGGGGACAGGGGGAGAGGCCACGGTGGGAGGAGGGATGAGCAGGGAGAAGGGCGGAGTGGGTTGGATACTGAGCAGACAGGCTATACTGGGTGTCACTGCGGAAGAGCTGGGGATGGGGGGTGGCAGGGTGGGGAGAGGAGAGCAACGCATAGAATGGGATGGGGCGCATACTCACCTGTCAGCCGGCACTCACCTGTCAGCCGGCACTCACCTGTCAACCGGCACTCACCCGTCTGCCGGCATTCACCCGTCTGCCGGCACTCACCCGTCTGCCGGCACTCACCCGTCTGCCGGCACTCACCCGTCTGCCAGCACTCACCCGTCTGCCGGCACTCACCCGACTGCCGGCACTCACCTTGTCAGGAGGGCCCTTCTGTCCTCCCAGAACAATGTGCGCTCTGTGCATAGTGGGAGAGGGGAGTGGGGTGCGGGGGAGAGGGTTGGAGTGGGGTGCAGGGGATCAGTGGTACGTGTGTGCACGATGTTGCATGTAAGAATGTGCACTATGGCCAGGGACGTGTGGTGTGAAAAAGTCAGGAGAGAGTTAGAGAGACAGAGGGAGGGGGGAGTGGGGGTGGGAGGCATGCTGGGCGAGTGTTGATAATGACAGAAATAACATGGGAATGTAAAAGATCACACCAGACTGCAAAAGTGAGGATGGGGAAGGGATATGCGGATAAGAAGAAGAGAGAAAAGGGCAGAGAGAAAGAGCGCGAGGAAAGAACGGGTGGGGGGCGGGGTTGTGTGAGAGGAGAGCATGGGCAGCACACCTGCAGGACTCTTTGATGGAGCGGATGGTCATGCCCCTCCTGCCGATGACCAGCCCCATGAGCCCCTGAGGCACATCCACCACCGATAGAATCTCCTCAACCGGCCCCCCACTGCTCTCCTCACTTGTGGCGCTGCTGCTGCTGACCATGTCCGCAGAGCCACCGTTCTCCACCAACTGTTGCTCCCTTAACGTTCCCCCCATGAGCACACGCACACGTCCGCACACAGACATGCACACAGACACATGCATACACACATGCACACACACATGCACACACACATGCATACACACATGCACACAGACACATGCATACACACATGCACAGACACATGCATACACACATGTACACACACATGTATACACACATGTACACACACATGCATACACACATGCACACAGACACATGCATACACACATGCACAGACACATGCATACACACATGCACACACACATGCATACACACATGCACACAGACACATGCATACACACATGCACACACACATGCATACACACATGCACACAGACACATGCATACACACATGCACAGACACATGCATACACACATGCACACAGACACATGCATACACACATGCACACACACATGCACACACACATGCACACAGACACATGCATACACACATGCACACACACATGCATACACACATGCACACCGACACATGCATACACACATGCACACACACATGCACACACACATGCATATGCACCACACCCATGCACACACACAGTGCCCACACAATCACCCCCAAAAACACATCCACAAAAGCACACAGAGGAGAATGAGCTGGAGGCAGTTCTCATACAATGCACCAGATAATGGGAGGCAACACTGTCAGAACCGCCAAGAAGCAGCACCTCAGTGCAATAATTCTGCACCCACTACCAAACCGCAATCTCCCCCCCCCTCCCCTCAAGGGGATCCCTTCTTCCCACATCCTCTCCCACTTCCCCCCCCGCTCCCCCACCTCCCCCCCCTCCCCCTAACCCAGTCATCCCCCTTATCCCCCCACCCACCCATCCCCTTCCCCACCTGGCCCCCCTGCAGCCCGTCATCCGCCCAGGGCACGGGCGCAGGCCACTCATGCGCGCCCAGGCAGAAGCAGCGCGCGTGCAGCTCGCTCTGCACTGCCAACTGGCGCAACCTGGTTGGCCCATTGGGGCCGGCTGATAGCAGTGCATGCATGCGGCGGTGGATGGTCGGCAGGAAGCGCACGTCGTCTGCTGCTGCGCGCAGCATCACTGGCGTCCATGGGCGGTGCTCCCAGAAGGCCGGATCCTGGCGGGGGGGGGGAGAGGGAAGGAAGGAGGGGGGAGGGAGGGAGGGAGGGAGGGAGGGAGGGAGGGAGGGAGGGAGGGAGGGAGGGAGGGAGGGAGGGAGGGAGGGAGGGAGGGAGGAGGGAGGGAGGGAGGGAGGGAAGGAGGGAGGGAGGGAGGGAGGGAAGGAGGGAGGGAGGGAGGGAGGGAGAGAAGAAAGGAGGGAGGGAACGAAGGAGAGAGGGAGATGGTGGGGTCATGTTGGTACGACTGGAGACCTGGCGAGGTGCACGGGGCAAGAGTGCCAGGGAAAGGACCAAGGATAGGGTGGAGGGGCTATGGAGGGAGGGAGGAAAGGACGAAAAGAAAAGGAAGGGGGGGATGTGGGTAGGGGGGTGGACAGACATGTTTGGAGGAATGAGCATGGGGAAAGTGGCGAACGGGGGCACAACAGGAGAGATGCAGCTCAGGAGTAGTGGTGAATGGAGAAAGCAGGGAAGGAATTTTTGAGTCGACTCAAAAATCGACTCATTACACACGGATTATAAACTGAGAGAATTTTTGTCGCATGGAAGGCTGGGCGTAACTTGCAAAAGTTACTTGTTCGCGCGAGGCTCCCTGAGCACCAGCTGGCGAGATGTGGGTTACCCACGACACGTCCCGAGGAATGAAGACCTGGCACCTTGGAACTTTCCAGGGTGTTTTGGATTGGCTGTCCAGATTTCAGTCGCGGTTGTTCCAACCTTGAAGTTGGTGTTCTCGTAGCGCAGTTTCTGTTTAAGAGCTCGCTTGTAAACTCACTTTTATAATTCCACCAGCACTGATGAAGGACTGATTTGGGGCTTGTCCCAGTCAGCCGAAACTAGTTTGCGTTTTAATCTTCTAGTGGAGTTGAGTTCGGAACTTCAAATTCTCGTTTTTTAAACAGGGGTATCAATTTACCTACTGTCACTCTTTTGCTAAAGTTTTTCCTCTTCGCTGCAGCCCACCGTAACGCTTAATGGCTGAAAGAAACGGGAGGGGGCGAAAGCTAAGGCGACGAGAGGCCTCACCTGTCTCATGAGTTGGCGCACTTCCTCCTTCTCATCATATGCAACCCCTGCACAGTACCGCACCACGTGTACAAGGTTCGTACAAGCAAATTAGCAACCACCCTTACTTTACCACCCAAGTGGTGTTCTCTCTCATACTATGCCACCTCTGCACAGTACCGCAACGCACGCACAGCAAGCGTAAACGGCACTCCTCTCAGCTCACACCCTCACAACCTCTCACACATGCACAGCCCACTACCTTCACTTCTTCCCCTCCTCTCCGGCCCTCACAGCGTCTGCCCTCTATTTCTCCGGCCGCCCCTCTCAATCCCACCTGCGCTAACCCAGAACTACCTCCAAGTCGCGCCCCGCAGAATCAAAGATTGCTAGCAGAAAATCATCCCATCCCATCTAGCCTCTCCCCCTCCCCTTCCCCACCAACACAGCCTCCCCCCCCTCCATCCTTCATCCTCCCTCTCACCACAGTATTGCGGCATGCTGGCGAGCTGCACGAAGGAGATCTGGTCCGACTGCACGTCCGCGCTGCCCCGCGCCTCCTCTATCAGCGCGTGCGCCAGCTGGGGGGGAGGGAGGGGGGGGAGTGGGATAAAAGAGGGGAGGGGGGCAGATGGAGGAAGTAGGGGAGAGGTGGATGGAGAGGAGACCGGGCTTGTAGGGAGGCGAGAAGGAAGAGTGACGGAGCAGAGGGGGCGGTGGCATGGAGTGAAGATTATGGTACAAGGAGGAAGCGATGATGCCAGCAGCACATCGGCAAGGGGCAATGGCATCGCATGACCCATGGCGTGTCATAGGGCATGGCCCATGAAATGGCATGGCATAAACAAGGCATGGCAAGGCATGGCATGGCCCATGGCATACCTGTGTGTCAAATATTCCCTGCAGCCGAACCCCAAACTGAAAGTACAGAGCCTGGGAGCGAGGGATGGGGAAGAACGATAGGAGAGAGGGATGAGGGACAGGTAGCGAGTGGTTTCAGTAGGAGAAAATTAGGGGAAGGGGCACAGAGCGAGGCAGGAGCGTTGGGTGGGAGAGTGCTTTGCGCCATCCCATGGCAAGTGCTTTCAGTGCCAGCTTCGAATCGGCAAAGAGTTGACACTGAATGCACAGCTGAAGCACGATAGGCCTACACCCCCAACCCCGCTGTTCTCCCCCTCCCCCCCAAGCGCCATCTGCGTCCGCCCTTCAGCAAACCTCCGTCCCCACGCCCCCATGGCGCCCTATCCCCATCGCCTCGCCACATTTGGACACTGCCTGCATGCATACGTTATCCTGCCCGCCTGATAACCCTTTCCACCCCTCCTTCCCCCCTCCTTCCCCCCTCCTTCCCCCATCCTTCCCCCATCCTTCCCCCATCCTTCCCCCATCCTTCCCCCCTCCTTCCCCCATCCTTCCCCCATCCTTCCCCCCTACTTCCCGCATCCTTCCCCCATCCTTCCCCCTACTTCCCGCATCCTTTCCCCTCCCACCCGTTATCCCTCTCCCCCCCCTTTCCCCCTCCCACGCCCCCCCCCCTCTTCTCCCCGCCCCACCTCCCCGTCGCGCTTGCAGTCGTGGATGGCCTTGACGACCCGTGGGCTCTCCAGCGCGCCCTTGCACTCTTCCACCAGCTGTCGCCCGCCCGCCACCACGTCCACCAGGTAGATGGCGCACGGCAGGGCCAGCTAGGGGGGAGGGGGGGGGGGGGGGCAGAGGGCGAGGAAGCTTTGCTTCATGTCGAGAGGCGCTGCTGAACGCCTGGTACGGCGGGTGCTGCAGCACGCGCTGGGCCCCTCCCCCCACTGGGCATGCCCAGCACTCCCACTGCGCTCATGGCGCTGGGTAGGGCGGGCTTGGGATCGGGCGCGGGAGAAGTGGGGCTAAGGGGAAGTTGGAAGGGAGGAGGGAGGAAGTTCCGAGCAGCCATAAGCACGGTAACCAGGTACACGGCGGTGCGGATGGCGGGCGATGTGCGGCAAGGAGGGACAGGAGAGGGGGAGCGGGGGCAGGGGGAAGGGTGAGGGAGGGAGGGGAGGGGGGAGGGCGAGACTAGGGTTGTAGAGGGAGTTAATATGCGCGGCGGCATGTGTGTGGCTGCTGCAGTGCGCTCCCGACCTGGGCCAATGGCGCTCGCTGCTCACGGCCTTAGAGTGGGCGACGCGGACAGGTGAGGGCGGGGAGGGGAGGCCTTGTTTGGGGACGCGCAGAAAGCGGGCGCTAGGAGGCGGTGGGTGGCGGTGGGTGGCGGTGGGTGCACCCAAGGCTGGAGCAATTGGAATGGAAGGGACACATGCGGTGATGGCGCAGCGAGGACCGATGATGCATGAACAGCCGGACAGCGTCAAGCATAGCGCAAACCTACAATGGCACAGCAGCGCCCTCAACTCAGCCGCCACCGCGCCTGCAGCAGTGAGACCTAGTCGGCCAGGCAAGGCAAGGCAAGAGAGCCCGAGACTAACCCGGGAATTGTGAGGTCAGGAAAGTCAGGAATAGGCGGCATTTGTGGGACGGCAGGCTGCGCGTTAGCGGCGGCTGGATCAAGGCACAGCTGCCCGTGCCGCGCGAGGAGTGTCAGCGCGAGCAGTATCAGCGCGGGGAGTATCAGCCCCTCTCACCTGCATCACGCACAGCTGCCCGTGCCGCGCCAGGTCGATCCCCTCGCAGTCAAATCCGATCACGAGCGGCGGGGCGGGCGGCGCGGGCGGGTGCAGGAGCTCGGGCGGGAGCTGACTGGCGTCCGTCACCACGTGCACCGGCAGCGACATCGGCGACATCGGCGACATCGGCGACGGTGCATCCTGCGACCCCTGCGACAGTGGGCCGTGCGACGACCAGGCGCCAGGCAACGGGCCGTCGGCGGCAGCAGAGGGTTGAGGGAGATCCATTGCCCCTAGACCAGCGGCAGGCCCCGGGCCGGTGTAGGACCGATGCACTGGCACGCCAAGGCGGTGCACGCCAGGGCTGCGATACGAGAGGGACCAGACAGAACTAGACACGTTACGGAAATATCAGCCGCGGCTTCGCGGAAATGACCCGGCTGACTGGCACGGCGGCTGCGGCGGCGAGGCGGTAAATAGAGAACATTGGCTTCTGCCAAACCGACCCCCTCGCGCTGCCAGCCGAGAGGCTGATCCAGGCGGGATCGGAGTGATAGGCTTGATGTGGGAGTCAGCAGTGGGGCGGAGAGTTGCAGTTGCTGCGTGGGTCGAAATGGAGGTGATGTAGGCAGGTGGGTAGTAACACTGTATGGGGCATTGCCCGTTGTGCGTCATGAGAGGGATAAGGAACAGCATAGCAGAGTGAGGAGGTGGTGGTGGTGTGGTGTGATGAAACAAGGCTCGACGTAAATCGTCGTATAGGTTGCGTTTTTTAAACACATTTACTTCCAAATATTAAAAAGTAATATTTTCTAAGACCATTTTTTGGAAAGTTTTTGTAGAACAATTTTGAGAAATAATTCAATGGAACATGTTTGATAAAATTTATGTATGGTAAAATTGGTAACATTGATAACTTCATAAACACTTTAATGTTCCATATAAAAGTAATCATTTGGATTGCTCTTTCGTCGTTTGTAACTGTGTTGACCTACAAATGAATGGCTTTCAGGGACAGAGCGAACACGCCCCTACTGGGGTTTGTTGATGAGTCTTCCACCCGTGCCTCGTTAACTTTCTCAGAGTAGAATGAGGCATACATGTTAATTTTGTCCAAGTAGTTGTACCCTCTAAGAGCATGTACCTATCTATCCTATTATAACTGCGAAATCTGTTGCTCTTGTTGCACTAGTATGTGAGAGCAAGTGATTGATTAAAAGAAACAAGCATACAGCAATATACACGATACCAGAGGACTCACCATCGTGCCACCGTTCTGCCACAACTGTCAGGCATCCGGGCACTCCAAGGTTAACTGCACGCGCCCTCGAGTTTATCGTCCAGCAGATCCGCAAGTCGCATCCACTCAAAAAAATCCGCCAAGCCGCTCCTCTACACCTGCACGAGACACACCAAACATCATCAACTGCATGGTACGGATCGACAGCTGCAGACCCGACTCACCACCCATTTACGCTCAAGACGAAGAAGAACTGCCGCCGCCACGTTCACAAGGTCTCCATGTCAAACCGACGTATGCTGCAGTCGCCAACGCCGAACCCACCGGGCGAAACACCTGGTTCTTGGACAGCTGCTGCGGCCAACATATGTGTTCTTCCGGGCGCTTCGTGCAACGAGAGCGACGTCTCAACCGCGATGTCATCATCACCGTCGCCAACAACGAGAACCTGAGGACAAACAGACAAGGCGTCGTTCAGCTCCAGTAAATGGAGACAAACGTCATACTACAACTCAACAAAGTTCTCATCGTCGACAACTTGGGATACAATCTACTAAGCGTCAGACTGTTAATGGCGAAGGGGATTTATCTGGAATGCGACTCGGACGACAACGAGTTTTGCCTTAACCACGGGAAGGGCGGCCTCTTCATCAGTCGCGCTCTCTTGAAGTCGGGCGTCTTCGTGCTGGATTTCGTCCCCGACCGCAGTACTGCCGACAGCGATGGCATCGTGTCGTTTGCCGCCTGGACGCACCCGCCAGATCTTGACCCCGACTTTACTCCAGACGGCTACTGGTACTCCAACACCATCCCTGCAGCAGAAGGAACACGAGCATTAGCAGTCATCCGACAAGAACGACAAGTACCACCAAGCGTCCCGCACATGACATCATTTGTAGTAGCAGCAGGACCCAGCCGTACGCCATCACCAGCAATTCGAGGGTCGCCATCTAAAGCAGATCAACTCATGCCCATCACCCGAGGAGTCTGCCGCAGTCCTGCAACAGTCGTCGCATTCTTCTCCAACGCCGACATGTACCAGCGCTCACCCGGCCATCGCGCTCCCGACGACATCTGGCATCAACGCCTCGGGCATCCTGCAAACAGTACAGTGCTACAAACCATACAAGCCTGAGTGTTAGAAAAGAACGCTCTTCTCACAACAAGCGGCCAGGAACTTCGACGACCCCGCGCACGATGCTTCACGTGCCCCGAAGCCGATCTTCCCCACCAACCTTTTCCGTCGCACCACAATCCAAGCGCACCTGCATACGCACCGATGGAAAAAGTCTACAGCGACATCTTAAATATGCCTCGAGACGACAGTGAAGCAGAGTACAACTATGTTATAACGTTCATCGACGCAGCAACACGATACATCTAGCACTACAACCTCAAGACACGAGATCAAGCGTTCGAAGCCTTCACGACATAGCTGCCCATCGCTGAACGAGAATCGGGCTCGCAACTCAAGAGTTTCCAGTCAGACGGAGCACTGGAGTACCAGTCACAACGATTCAGGAACTACTTGGCAGAAAGAGGCATCTGACGCCTGGTGTCCCTGCCCTACGCTCACCAGCAGCAGGGGGTCGCAGAGAGGATGAACCGAACTTTGCAGACAACGATGCGGAAGCTGCTCCTGGGGATGAGACTGCCCAATACGCCTTGGCCTGACGCGATGACACATGCAGTCCACCTGCACAATTTGTTGTCCTCGTCATCACTTCCCAACAGCGCATCACCGCACCTGCTGTGGACAGGAAAACAGGGCAGCACAAAATTACTTCGAGTCTTCGGCTGCATGGTACAGTACAGACCCCACACAGCCCGAGCAGGTCGATTCTCTCAACGAGCACGGTGGGGACTTCACCTCGGCATCGCAAAACATTTCCAAGCATGGAAACTTCTCGACATTCATGACAAAACCACCGTGGCCTCACGTGATGTGATTTTCTACGAGCGTCTGAAGCTGCAACATTACCTGGACAACATCGCCAACACAGACGACCCCACCGACGGCTTCGAGGGCCATGGGTCCTTCGCCGACCGTGCTGCCGAAGCTGACGCAGCAGAAGAAAACGTACCTGAAGCCTCGGAAGCTGCCGGACCACTCCCTTACTGCTCCGTGCCCGTTCCACTCGACGACGACAATCCTCTCGATAGTAACAACCTTGACACCTATTACCAATTCGCTGACCACGGTTACGCTACACCTCAACCGGTCGACACAAATGTCTCTGAACGCATCGGACCAAATTTCTTACCTGATCCCGGAGACGGTGACGAAGTAGCTTATCCCCAGAATACCAATTCCCCTCGACACACACCCACGGGCCTGCAGATACTTCGACTATGTCCAGAGCCCGCCACCGCCGTCACCACGCAAGCCATCGACTCTGTCGCAGGCTCTGGGGGGGGAATACAAGGCAAAATGGAAGGAAGCAATGGAAAAGGAACTGAAGGCCCTGCAAGACCGAAATACGTGGAAGCTGGTATCTGCGACAAAAACCAACGGGAAGAACGTGCTCTCAGAGAAATGGGTGTACCGCATCAAGACCAATGCGGATGGCTCCATCAACCGCTTCAAAGCTCACTGGGTCGTACGAGGATTCGACCAGCGATATGGAACCGACTACACGGAGACATTCGCCCTGGTTTCCCGACACACTTCCCTGCGCATTTTGCTTGCCGTCGTGGCCACGAAAAAAGATACCACTGCGCCAGATCGATGTCGCCAACGCCTTCCTGTATGCACCTGTGGACGCCGAAATCTTCGTCGAACAGCCCCACGGATTCATCGACGATCCCACAAAGGTGTGCCAGCTGGTGAAATCCCTCTACGGAAATAAACAAGCCCCGCGGCTCTGGCGGCAGCACCTCCATGACCGTCTCGTCAAAATCGGTTTTCTGCAGCTGCCGCACGATCGAGGCATGTACCAACTACAGAGGGGGGGGGATTTCGTCCTACTCATCGTCTGTGTCGATGATCTACACTATGTCGGCTCCACTACCGACATCACCACCTGGTTCGAAGGGGAGCTGAAGAGGGATTTAACGCTCACGGTGCTAGACACCGTGAGCCAATACCTGGGTCTAAACATCGTCAAAAACGACTCAGCGCTCTACCTACACGCCATAAAATACACAGGCATTGTCGCGAAGAAATTTGACCTAACACCAGTCGCAGTCGCAACTCCCTACCGCTATGGGAACAACAGCGACACCTCCGCAAAACTCCCCGCGAAGCAAATCCAGGAATATCAACAGAAGCTCAGCTGTCTACTGTTCGCAGCAGTAACCTGCTGACCGGACCTGTCCTACAGCGCAAGCCAACTGGCGACACACCTGAAGCAGCCGGAGCAAGAGGATCTCGAAGAATTAAATTGGGCACTACTCTACTTCGTCGCTACGCCGATGACTGGACTTACCTACAGCAAAGTAACAACATCATCCGTACAACTACTCGGCTATGTCGACGCTGACCACGCGGGAGATAGGGAGAACCGTCGCTCCAGAACGGGCTACATCCACCGACTAGAACCTATCGAGACGGGTTCGCCGATCGAACCAGCGGGAGATAGGGAGAACCGTCGGAGGCTGCTCGGAGGAGTTGCTCAACAATCAGGTTGAGGCGCTCGGTCTGTCCGTCTGTCTGCGGATGGTAAGCGGATGACATGGCGAGTTTGGTCCCGAGTAGAGACATAAGTTCCTTCCAGAACTTGCTGGTGAACTTGGGGTCTCGGTCGGAGATGAGTGTGGTTGGGATGCCATGCTGTGAGATGATGTAACGAATGAATAGTTGTGCTGTCTCCTCGGTGCGTGCTGTCGTGTGTGTTGGGATGTAGTGTCCCATTTTGGAGAACTTGTCGATGACAACAAGGATTGCGTCATGACCGCTGGTGGTAGGTGGTAACCCGGTGATGAAGTCCAGGCTAACCACTTGCCATGGCTGTTCTGGGACAGGAAGAGGCTGTAGTAGTCCCGCCTTTTTCTGCTTGCTGCTCTTCATCCGCTGACATGTATCACACGATGTGACAAACTTCTGAACATCCTCTGCCAAGTGGGGCCAGTAGTAGTGTTTTGCGATACCGGTCAGCGTCTTGTTGCTACCGAAGTGTCCGGCGTATAGGACGTTGTCGTATTCTTCGAGTAGTAACTGGCGCAAAGGAGGGTAATTGGGTACCCAGATTTTTGTTGATCCTTTCCGGTATGCGATGTCACTGTCCCACTGTAGCAGATGTCGTTTCTCTGCCAAGGGAATTTCGGGGTCGATGGCGTACCCGTGTGTGAAGAGTCCCTTGAGTAGTGGACTCATCCCTTCGATCTGAATAGCGGCAACGTGTGCAGGCCCGCTGAGAGCATCTGCTTTGTTTTTGTGGCCGGGCTTGTACACGATGTCGTAGTGGAAGTGTGTCTCGAGGAAGTCGATCCACCGGACCTGCCGTCTGGAAAGGTTGGGTTGTGTCTTCAAGTATTTCAAACTGCAGTGGTCGGTGTAGACGGTTGTTCTTCGTCCTTCGAGATAACATCTCCATGGTTTGAAGGTGATAACGATGGCAAGGGCTTCTTTGTCGTGTATCGGGTAGTTGATTTCTGCCCCGTGCAGTTTCTTATTCAGGTCGGCGATTGGTTGCAGTCCATTCCCCTGATCTTGCATTAAGACTGCTCCTAATGCCTGTTCGCTGGCGTCAGCTTCGATTACGTAGTCGCGCTCGGGATCTAGCAAGATGAGTACTGGTGCGGACGTGAGTGCTTTTTTCAGCTGCTCCACGGCTTCCTGATGCTTCGGCTCCCATTTGTAGGGCGTGTTCTTCTTCAGCAAATTCGTGAATGGTGCTGCGAGTTTCGCATACTATGTCACGAACCTGTTGTAATAATTAGCGAAGCCTAGGAACTGTTGCAACTCCTTCACGTTCTCGGGTGTCTTCCACGTACGTACGGCTTCGATTTTCTTGGGGTCGACGTGAACTCCTTGAGCGCTCACCATGTGTTATAGGAACTGGACCATCTCAAGGGCGAATTCGCTCTTGGACAGTTTGACGTAGAATCGTTCTCGTCGAAGAATTTTGAAGACGCGTCGCAGGTATTCAACGTGCTCCTTCATGTCGTGCGAGTAGATGAGGATATCGTCCAGGTACACCACCACGCACTCGTCCAAAACGGGTCATAGAATGTGG